AGAGAGAGAGAGAGAAAGAGAGAGAGAGAGAGAGAGAGAGAGAGAGAGAGAGATCAGACTTGGTAGGACATCATTTTGCCTGTTCCATTCTTTTTTGAAGTTCTATTGAACAGTCCATATGTTCTTTTCTCTCTTTTAATGAAAGTCTGCATTTGTTCCACTGGTAAAGGGCTGAAAGTTGAGATCACACAGTGAGATGTCTGCAAGAAGTCTTTACATGCTGCCACCCCTTTATAAACGAAAGCATTGGAGCTATCTGTTTCATTACCATCTTAGTGCCTGGTTACAATTGTACATTTCGTTTCTCTCTTTAACCTGTACACATATTCTGATATTAAATTTGCTCTATATTTCTTCCTTTTAAATTCTAGTTTGAGCATCTTATCTACTTGAAGATGAGGGTTTTATTGCAAAGCCCTATTTGTATTTCTTCTGCTGTTAAATCTTCCTACTAGTTTTACATGTTACAAAAATTCACTGTTAATTATATCATTAAAGTTATTCATTAAAAATTAAATACTATCTTGAGACCAGACATAGATAGGCATCAGTGGGGATGCCCAGCAGGCCACTGCTCTAGCAGCTATCTTTGACTTGCAATAATAATAGCTGTGAAAATATTGGATCTTCCCTCAGAAGCATTATGTTTTAAGAGATGGCATAAGATAAAACAGGAAATTTAAGACAGTTACAGTATTCCAAAACTCATATTCTAGCATGATTTAGACTTAGGAGCTAAGTGAAGGATAAGAGAAAAGCTTTTGTTAGGCTATATAGCTGTTATGTTTTAAATATCTTAATTTTAATGTAGTAAATTATCCAGAAAAATATAAATTGTCTAGTGTTTTTAACTGTAGGGAAGCTGAGAGATGTAAAAACATCTGGTAGCCTGCCTTGCAGGTTATTATTCTAACTTCATAGATGTTCTGCTTTTCCATACATGTAAAAACCTGCTAGCATGGATTCACTAAGTTATTTTTATTAGCTCTGTGATAGCAGCCAGTAAGCCATATTTTCTAGTTTAGTAAGTTTAATACACTGTTTTAAATCATGTTTTAATGTTCTAAGCGACAGGTAAAATGCAAAAATGTTCAAAATATGTCAATAAAATAAGAGTAAGTTGTTAATCTGGCATCTATTGAGGTTATTTCTAGTTTTTATAAAGGAAAATGCACTATGCTACTTTTGTACTTAGCCAATTTTCCCAGTTTAGTTTGTAACTGTTTGTCTTCAACTCAGTCAGAAAAAGCAGTAATGACAGATCCTTGTCCTGAGGCCACATTGATAAACAAGCATGTGTGTCTGTTACCTGTTAGCAGTGGACAGTGTTGTTTAGTTAATTATGAAGGTAGCAAAAAGTAGAAAAAATACTTTTGAAATATTCCTAGTGCATGCTATAGTTTCTTATTTGCTTGAGATAGTGTCTCACTGTGTTGTTCAATTAGGCCCTGAACTTCTAGGATCAAACAGTCCTCTGCCTAGACTCTATAAAGTATCTAGGAATATAGCTGCATGCACCTCACTGATACCTGCCTTTTAAAAAGTAAGCTAGAAGAAAAGTTCTATTATCCTGCCATAGTATATTTTCTTCTCTCAGTAACTAAAAGATCTATAAGACTGATAACTTCAGTATTCATTGAACATCCAGACAGAAACTGATTTTAATTATGTTTGTTTAGAGTTTCAGGTTGGGCTTGTAGTTTTTAACCTTAGAAATTCCTTCACACCAGCCAATAATGCGATGAAAATGAGTGCCATGCCCTTGTGAGAATTAAAAACACCTTTTCTTTCATAGTACACACAGCTGCCAAATCCTGGAATAGGTTTACATTTGATTTAAACATATATATAAATATATATATGTATATATGTATGTATATATAATACATATTTACAAGCTTTGTATTAAAGTTGTGTCTAGTAGGTATGGATACATTTATTTTGATTGTGTTAGTTTAACAGGATGGATGATAAAATAACTAATTTTTAAATTAAGTATGCACTTAGAAAAATTTCCATATACCACTTCACACAAAGTGTAAATAAAAATCTTATGTCATACTTTTGTAAAAGTTAATGTATGTCTCAACAAAGAAGCAGATTAGATTGGAGAGTTTGATTCTTTTTGACATAGCCACATTGTGCTTAGAAACAGGTTTATACTATTTCGTCCCTGGAAGCACCATGGGTCTCCTAGCTCATAATATAATACTGTTGTGTACAGCAGCAACACAATAAAGGTGAGTTAATGAAGTCTCTTCTCTTGGCTAAAAGAGATGCAAATCATGTAAGTTGTCACTCACTGTGACAATTCTTTAGACTTATGATGTTGTTCTTAAAACTTGTGCAGGTACTTAAAACAGATGCTGAGGAACTTGTCTCCAGAAGCTACTGGGATACCCTAAGACGTAACACAAGTCAAGCTCTCTTTTCAGACCTCGCAGAGGTACAGTGAAGCCTCCATGTTCAATGTGGTCCTTGCACTAGATGTCATTTTGTTAATCTAATCTTCATTTGGTTTTAGACTCACAAGATGAAGCAAAAAAAAAAAAAAGTCCTATTTTTCTATTTCTTTTTTCAGTAAATTGATGTTATATAATTATTGTATAGAAAAATATTTTAATATATTCATTGTACTGACAGAAGATGCCTATTACTGTCTGTATTGATTGAATTTGTTGATTATATAAGGTGTAACTTTCCTTTTATTTAAAAGGAAATAATAGTTAAGTTTTAATTAAGGACCACTTCCTAGAAACTTGAAATAGTAATATAGATTTGTAAATTCACTGAGACTGTTTATCCTACAGCATAACAGTGTTGTTACATGAAATTCTAAAAGCTTCACTTATAAATGATGGCTAGCTCTTATGTTCAATTTAAACAATTAAACTTCCTCAACTAACAATAGTGAACAGTTTACAGAAGTGTGGGATGGTGTGGTATACACAGTCATTCAAGGAATGGAGAAGTAGTTTACATTACCTAAGATTGCCAGTTCATGTTTAAATAAAAACCCAGCCAAATCAAATTCTGCTTTATTATTGTTTGAACTTAATGCTAGTGGACACTTTAGTGCTGCACTCATAACAGACTGCCAACTGCCTCTTTTCCCCTATTCATGTAGTACCACCATCAACAGGCTTTTCATCTTTAATATTAAGCTTGATATCTAATTTCTCTTCTAAACATTAACTGCAGGATTCAGTGTTAGAGTGCATGACATACAAGCATGAGGATCCAAATTCAACCCTCCTGCATCCATGAAAGGGCTGGCACGGAGGCACATTGTTTGTTCTTTAGTGCAGCAGTTCGGAGGAGGAGGAGACTGGAGGAAAGTCGCTGCTGCTTGCATAGGATCATTGAGAGACCCTGTTTTGAAAAATTAGGTGGAGTGTAAGAAAGACATCTAACATTGATCCCTGGTCTCATGCATGCACATGTGCACATGTGCACACACACACACACACACACACACACACTCACACACACGCACGCGCGTGCGCGCATGCATGCTTGCAGTCTGAAATACATCCCAAACATTTAGGACTTCTTTTGCTTTTCTTTAAAGTTTGAAGTGGGCCTTATTTGGAGATTATCTCTGTTACTGCACTCCTACATTATAGAAAATGAGAAGTAACTATGTCACAACTTATTAGAATTTCTCATGTTACTATGGACACTAGTATGACAGAATTATTTTTAGTATCTTCATGATTCAAACTGATTTAGAAGGAAAGCTTAGAAATGTACTTATGTATTTCTTCATTACATACAATACACCACTCTTAAGATATTTAGGTAACTTAGATCTTAGTCTCTCATCTTCTCATTGTACAGCTGCTTAAAACCATTGATATTTTAAATTATGAAAAACCATATTTTTAAATTACTGTAAAATTATATAAAGAAAAATTTCATATGTCACAGCTAGCATTAATTTCTGAGTAAAATAATTCAGAGTACAATATGACAGATATATCATAAGGAAATAAGTTCATCAGCACCAGTATTCTAAAAATTTTGATTTTTATAAATGAAATTTAATTTTTCTGTTCTATAAATTCTATTTATGCACTGAATTATTCAGAAACTTCATTATATTGTCTTTGAAGATTTCCCTTTGCTGTAGATTAAAGTTACTTTCACATTGTAATCAATAGAATTTTTTTAAAGGCTGCCTTAAAACTATTTTTATAGTTTGGTGAATTTGTATTTTGTACAAATTTTGAAATTTAAAATAACTTTAGTGATTTTTTTTATTATTGGTGCTGAGAACTGAACCATGCTAATAACACTCCACTACTTCTAAACTATATCCCACTCCCTCTGAACTACTTCCCAAATAATACTTTTAACCAAAAAAAAAAAAAAAAAAATTAGAAGACTTAGAGAGTGAAGCTAAGGGTAAATGGCCCATAAGGGTTGTTTTAATTCATTATGAAAATCCCTGAATTCATTTTTTTTTTACAATAATCACAAGACTCAGAGTGATAAAGTCTTTTGTTTTGTTTCTACCTTCTTATAATGTTAAGTAAACTATTAGGATACCTAGGACACTGGTATGGATTTCAGTGCCTCCAGTGCTCAGTTGCAGTAAGGGAGGGGGATCCCCATTTGCATTTTCTGTTTTGTTTTGTGTTTTCTCTAATGTCCAATGTTATCCCTCTGTGGATCTGGATTGCAAACTGAAACTGATGAGATGGACACTGAAGACTGGAAGTGAAGGACATCTCTGCTCAGTGAGGTCATTACAGAAGCCTATGTCAACAGTACTCATCTTAGGCTAGCATCATGACATGTAGTCATGTCACAGCACTGAAGGCAATACTTATATTACCCATGTGCCCTCACTCGTGGTGCTCCTGGAACCTCTCAATTCTAAAGTCTCTTGTTTTCAAATTTACATAGATTTAATTTCAGTAACAAAATGTAAGCATGTACTATGAAACAATCTTTTTTTTCCCATTATCTTTGGAAATTATCGTTTTGTTATCTAAGTCATGTTTTAACTTCTTAAGCTTGACAAAAATAAGTAAAACATGATCAGAATATATTTTATGAATTTTTTTCAATTAAAAAACAGGAAAAACCTACCTCCTGCTTTATTTCTCTAGCTTCTAGACAGGTACACTGGTTCTTCATGCTGATAGGCTAGTGCCTACTATTAAGCTGAACTTGAGTATGTCTCCAAGATATCTGCATGCACTCTGTTTACATTTAAGCTCTTCAGGGAAAAATAAATTGATTGAGTGAGACTACTCAAAAATCTTATATGTATATATGATTAACATCAGTTGATTTTCCCAGTGATATTTGCGCCTTTGACTATCAACAGGAATGTGTGTATACTTTATTATCTTCATATTGTAGCATTCTCCTTCAACTGTTATAGACAGGATTATTTCCTTTTTAAAGATAAAGCAAGCTGAAGATCCAGATCAGTGAAATAAAGACCTCTGATTTTAAATCCTGTCCTTTTCCCATTAGAACAATCTACCTTCTCCACCCAGTTATTGGTGAATTAATGTCTTTCAGGGTTACTCCTTCCTCACATGGGACACTAAAGGAACAGCTGGTACCTCTCTCATTATCCAACATTCATAATATGCTTTGCAAACAAATATTTTTAAGATAGTATTCGATACTCAGATACCTGTATTATTTTCTCCACAGATAACCAGATGGGACTGCTATCCAATCTTCAAAGATGTTGTAGCATAGTAGGGCTTTCCTCAGGGATTTGGACCACTGAGGGTGCTTTGAACTTCTCAGTAAATTAAAATGAGAAATGGGTACTAGGGTTCTTCCAAAATATAAGGAAGCATAAGAAAATCCATACTTGATTATAAAAAAAAAAAGATGGGTAGTGACTGATGAATTTAAATTACAGATTATTGGCATTTTGGGTTGAGGATTGGATTTGAGTTTGGGTTTAGTTTTTTGAGATAGCATTTCATATAGCACAAGCAGGCCTTGAATTCTTGATTCTCCTGTCTCAGCCTCCCAAATGCTAGAATTAAAGCCATGTGCAATCACACCTGCTCAAAAACTAGAGTTTTAAAGAAAGACATGAGTAATTGAAGTAGAATGGATCACTTTTTTAAAAAGCTGTGTAATGAAGTTAAAGAGGGACGTGTAAGAGAAGTAGACACCCTAATTCTGCCACATGCTAATCATTAGCAAAAAATAATATTTGGTTCAAGAGAAAGGAAATGAAGATCTAACTAATGTTGAAAACTAGAACAGCTAGCTTTGTGAAAGATAGGGAAGAGCATTATGAGTGTTAGATTCTCGGAAAGCTGAGGCTTCCAGAATCTTAGCCCAGGATCGCGGCCACCCCAATCACAGAATGGAGGCGAAAGCTTGATGCAAATTGCATGAGGCTTTATTGTAATTTAACGAGCTAACCCCATGTTAGCTCGGGTCTTTC